TTATACTCACGCTGTGATCAGCGACAGCTGGATGCAATAATTGCATGCCAATGTGCATTGGCTCGTTTAGTTTACACTTGAAGTAGATTGGTCTATCGAAGCGATATCCCAATTCGTCGGTCACCGACGTGACTCGAAGTGACTGACTGAAAGGGAACAGTCTAATAATGTGTTTTATGGATTATTGTCCGTGAAATGCGCCACTTCCGGTATTTTGCCGGTTAGTCGACGCGAGCAAAATGAAGTCGAGGATTTTAAAAAATCGAATAATCGAATAAAATCGGCGAATCGCGACAGCCCTACTTTAATTGCAGCTTGTGTTTCCTCATTGGACTGAGAGTCTCTCGGCTGTGTTCTCACTGCGGTTTAAATAGTACAAACAAATCTGACTGTACATCTCCAGTTCACTAGCAGAAGCGCTGCCATCTCAGTTCCAACGTGTGCTGACACAAGGAAGTTTCTCCCCAGTTTAATTGATGTGTATTATTTATTCGGGTGCTGTGGCGTGGCCGTGAGGCACAGTGCGCTGATCCGTAAAATTGTGATATTTACATAATTTGTGTAATTGCCAGCCATTTCAGTCTTGTGTTTATTTTCTCTTCCGCTTGCCAACATCATGAATGCTTCAAAGCAGTTCAGAGAAGATGAAGGCTGTTGAAGGTGCTTTTTCAGGCAGCGGCGGATGTTGTGTTGTTAGATGTTTGAAACTATGTGAGGTTTAGGAATACCACCCCCCCCCCAAAAAATTATAAAAAAAATACAAAAGTAAATCCTGCCAACATTCACTCACCCACATGTAGCTCCAAACAAACCTTTATGTTATGGAATATAAAAGGAGATGTTTTGCAGTGTCCCTGCTGGTCTTTGCATTATAATGAAAGTAGATGGTGACCAAGGGCTGTCAAAAAACAAAACAAAAACACCATAAACATAAAACTGTTTGCAGAGTCTTTCCCGAGTTTTAAAAACTAATGCTGTATCTTCTATTAATAAATCATTAATAGACATTATATAATGCTTAACAGAGCATTAGTTAATATATATCCAATAATGTACGAATGATTTTAACAGATGATTTATGTGCATCTGAATGCTTACAAATGTCATTAAATTGTTTGTTTAAATGGTTTGAAATGATTTATATGTCATCTAATGCACATTTTTACATTCAGTACCTTTATGGGAATTGGACTTGTAGCTACTGTAACAAAGTTTGAGTAAAGTGTGATTAGTTAAGTGTGTTTATATTCTTCCTAAAGGCATAAAAACAACAACACATAACATCGACAGCATATTTTAAGAGAAAAGCTTTGCGTTTACTCATTTACATATTTATCATAAAATATGATTCCAGAATTCAAGTTTGACAAACCAATCAAATACGTTTCCAACCTTGTTCTACAACACTAATGCTGAAATTTTAATTTAGGTTAAGTAACGAGGATTTTAATTTAGGTTAACTAACGAGCATTTTAATTTAGGTTAACTAACGAGCTGTTAATCATTATGTTCAACAAGTTCATTAGTAAAGATTTACAAGTACATCATCTCACATTTGTATCTATTAGAATACGTATTAACTAATGATCTGTTAAACATTGTATGATGTTTGTTAATTATCTACATTGTGCCTAACAACACCCCTTAGCTTTTATAAATTCAATGTAAACCACGACTTCTTGGGGCTTATTGCTTTATTTGCATATCCATTTTTAGGTACTATGCATTTTTGCTTATGTATCACGTCGCCCTCTCTCTGTTTCAGAGGCGTAATGGTGTTCTGATGTCGCCATACTCAGTGACGTCATCAGTAGGCGAGCGTCGATTGGTTGCGTGGTTTCAGGTGGGTGGAGCCCAGCGTGGAGAGCAGGATCTCTACCGATGCCTCACTCAGTCGACGTACGGAGCCGCAGTGTCAAACTTTGCTGAACTAATCGTCAGAGGTATGAGCGGTGTTTCTTTCAACTATATCCTAGGTTTATTTATTTGCCAGTGTGTTATAACTTAATATGTGTTACATAAGTCTATACCGCAGGCTGTTGGATGCTTAATGCTGATTGGTTGGTGCACGTTTTAAGGTGCGCAATTATTTTTTAGGGAAGTAATTCTAGGTCTTTTGACTGCAAACTCCAAACTCTCTTTCTTGGCAAAACAAAACAAAACAAAACAAAACAAAACAAAATAAAATAAAATAAAATAAAATAAAATAAAATAAAATAAAATAAAATAAAATAAAATAAAATAAAATAAAATAAAATAAAATAAAATAAAATAAAATAAAATAAAATAAAATAAAATAAAATAAAATAAAATAAAATAAAATAAAATAAAATAAAATAAAATAAAATAAAATAAAATAAAATAAAAATGTTTTTACTATTATATATTAATTTATTATTATTATTATTATTATTATTATTATTATTATTATTATTATTATTATTATCATTTCATTACATTGTGACAAGAAAATTTAGCACATTTCCCCCAATTTCCCTTCTCATAAATAAATAAATAAATAAATAAATACAAATCTCAGTCTCATTATTATGTTGCAAAAATATATTATTTAAAGGGGTCATATGATGTTGCTAAAAAGAACATTATGTTGTGTATTTGGTGTAATGCAATGTGTTTATGCAGTTTAAGGTTCAAAAAACACATTATTTT